TTATGCATAATAGCAATATCTAAGTACTACAACAAGGCTTGATTATTGTCCATCAACTTCTTGCAAATTTATGGTTTTAATGCTTTGTTAATAATTTGTTGTTACTCTTTCAATTGGTATCAGAGCGTATCATTCTTGAGGGACTTGTGAGAGAAACACAAAGAGGTGTGAAAGAGAGCAATCATGAGAGTTTGAAAGGGAAAGAAGCTGTGATGGTGCTTTGGTGCTTGGGAATGGAGAAATGGCAAAGTGTTTGAGGCAAGGAAGACTCAAGGAACAAAGTTTTTGACTTAATTCAACATAGTAGATTATATATGGCTAGTAGAGAAGAATATCATTGCTTTTCATTCAATTATTGGTGTACTATAATGTTTATAAATTTTTGGTTTTGTTTTCATTTGAGTGTGAATTGTTGCCTTTTTACCTTTGCTATGTTGGGTGATTAATTTTTGAAGTATTGTTATTTTCATTGTTACCTTTGTAAGGGTTAACATACACCTTGTACTCCTATTCAACTTAATTTTCCCTTTTGCTAATAAAAGAAATTTTATGTTAATACTAATCTACTTGAAAGGCTATAGTATTACAAGCTATCCAAAATAAGGGAAAAAGTTTAATTGGTTTTCTTGTATTTGAGTTTGTCATTTGTTGGGTCAACTCTACATACAAACTACGAAGAGAGTTTTGTTTTGATTGATATTTGTACAGTTCTTACATTCTGTGATACAAGTTTGCTTTCTAGATCTCCCCTAGTAGAGAAAGTTTTTAGCTTTGTCCCTAGGTGTATGATCCTTCGACAATAAGATTAGTGGTGTGTGGTTATTCAATTGTTAATTTGGAAATGTTTGATCTTCCAAGAAGAAAAATTCTTGATGAGTGAAGCTAAGATAGTGTTTTTATAAAAAAAAAAAAAAAAACCTTGTAAAAAGATAAGTAGCTCTTGGGTTACTCTTGAACCATAATTGAAAGTATGGACAAAATTTTTAAAGAGTAAAGCAAAGGAACAAAATTAAGAGTTATAAATGTCAAGCTATTCTTCCCTTTCACTTTCATGTCTGTATTGGTGGTTTGAAGAAACGATTATCTTTTAGGAGTCCTATTCACTCCACTCTTAGTGTACATAAAGCCTATTAGTGTCAAGATTTTATTAGCTCATTTTTCTCCATATAAATAAAATGTTCAAAGCAAATGCTCCAATCTGTATTTATTGGACTCCTTTCGATATACTTTAATGGTTAGAAAGATCTTTGTGATGTTGTGACTTGAGTGTTATCAAAAGAAAAACATTTTCTTTCCATTTTCTTCTTACGTTTCATCCCAAACCTAAAATTTAATAAAGGAGAAAAACCAAAAATGGAAAGTTAAAAGGGGAAGAAAGGGACTTTGAAAGTGAAACTAGAGGAAGAAGAAAGAGGAAGAACAAGATGACAAGCCATTGTAAGGAGAAAAATAGTGTACAAACCCTATGACAAGCATCCTCTGAAATCTATTATTTCAGGAGACAGCATATGGATTTGGATTCCAACTTTCAAAAGTTTACTAATTAATAACCTAAACCTTTCTTAGTTCATAAACCAAATCCCCTTTTTGCATCCTACATAATTTTTTATTTTTGCAATCAACACCTTCAAGTTTTTTTCCTCCCAGTCAGCACCCTCAAGTGTGCAAAATTTGGAAATAATCCAAAATTTAATGAAAAATCCACGTGCCCCTCACATGCATGTTAAAAACTATTTGAAATTCGCTTACATGGCACTATTTAAGGACATGGAGAAACTTTTGGGTACGTGACTAATATTGAGCTAACATGGCATTCTTTAACTAAAAAATTGTATTTTATCATAAACTACCTATTGCCTTCATCCCTCTTTAAATTTCTCAAACTTACCGTTTCCTCTTGTTAGAACATTTCTTCAATAACCAAACATAGGCCAATTAAAATTAGAGAAAAGAATCACCTGTAGGACTTTGGGGCCTTGAAGAGGAGATGACTTCCAAAGGAGGAGATTGAGTTTGGGCAAGAACTTGTCTCCGAAAGATCTAAGGTTCATGCTAAGTAGCTTCGATTCAATGGAATTGGCATCCTTACTGGCATCCCCTCATCATGAAAGAAAATTTCAAATTTTTCAATTTTTTAGAGATTTAAGTCACCAAAATAGCATCTACAGAATTAGAGGTGGCCTTTCTCGCTATTCTTTCTCAATGCATGTTAATGGCAATTTGATGCATGCTTAGTATTACTTTGTGATTTTTGGCGTAAATGATCTTCCATGTATCTAGATTAAATCTACAATTTTTGGTAGCCAAAGTCTTCTTGTGCTTAGAGAAATTTCAAATCTAAGCTTTCATGGTTGAATATTTCAAAAAATTCTCATAAATCATAGAGAATGATTCACAGTAAGAATGTTATATAGTTAGAAGGTCTCAAAAATGAAACAGCTTTTCAATGGTCTATCATATGCTTAATTTGGATTAGAGTAGAGGCAGATGCACACAAATGGAAAACCTACAATTTTGAAATAAAGAAAACGCAAAAATGGGAATGGTGAGCTTGATGAAGAAGAACGGTGTGGGCCCATTAATTTAGTTAATAATTATTAATTAATTAATATGATTAATTATTTAATAAATAAATATTAATTGTTCATTTAATATTAAATATGTAATTTAAATTATTTTAAGGGAAATGATTTTTATATAATCTTTTTTTGTTCACCTTTTTTTACAACCTTTTTATTTCACATTTTTATATAATTTGACGTATCATTAAAATGATCAGTTTTTTTAATTTATGTGAAACTTATGATATTAAATATATCCACTCATTTAATGAAATATAAAAATTATATGAAAAAATGATATAAAAAAATTGTTTCTATAACACCACTCTTATTTTAACTTGGCACGTGGAACAATTATTTGACATGCCATTATTGTTATAGCCATGTCAGCAATAATTAACTATTAATGGTCAGGTAAGCAGCAAGTGGATTTTCCGTTAAATTTTGGATTGTTTGCGGATTTTGCAAACTTAAGGGTGTTGACTGGGGTGAAAAAAACTAGGAAGTGTTGACTGCTAAAATAAAAAATGTGTAGGGTATTAAGAGGGGGTTCGGCCTAGCTCATAATCAAGGATCTCAACTTTCCAATTTTCTTGTTCAAGGACTCAAACTCTTCAATTTTACCATATATGGCTTTGTTGGATAAAATGCTAACACAAGCTTCATAATTTGGTTAAAGTGGCCCACATTAGATGCCAGCTTGGAAAAAAAAATTACTTTGTCATGGATGACATGGACAAAGGATAAAAAAATGTTGAAAAAAATGAATAATTAGTGTTTGTGTGTGACCCACTATTGTCTAAAAAAATTTCTCTTTTTGGCTGCATAACAGATAGGACTACAAAAGCTTGTCACACACTTTATTCAAAACAAGAAAGAGGGATTTCCAATGATCCTTACTACTTTCAAGCACAGAACCCAATTGTGAATTGATGGATGAGCACTTGTTAAATAAATTATGAGATGCATTATGATTAGATGATTGTTGCAAAAATGAAGGTGCATTCCTACATTAAAAGTCATAAATAATTGTTTTGAAAAAACATCAAGGACTACTCACAATTAGGGCCAAAACAATAGTTTGTTGATCAAAACAAAAAGAGCAACAGATGAAAAGAAAGTGCATGATAGGAAAACTAAATTGAACTTAAAAGAAACTAGGAAAATTATTTTGGAGCAAAGTGCAATAAATTAAACTAAAATAAACTAAGTTGGCATTATGAAATGAAAGTTAACAAAAAATTAAAGGAACATAGATCTAAAGAAGATGTTGAATTGAATTGTAGGGAACAAAATACATCAATGCAGATGTTTAAATAAAAATAAATATAAACTAGTGCTAAAATTGAGGACAACGTAAACCTAATAATTAAATTATAAAAGCTATTTGTGAAACATAGAGATAAACTAAGACATTGCCTGTGAGAGGTTTGTGAAACTAAAATGTAAATAGCACTAAGCTAGTTTGAGAGGGGCAAGCCTTCTTTGCTTGGCTCAATCTTCATGTATTTATAGTAAAAAATATTAATGGCAACATGCTTAGGACCTACGACAGCATGATATCTACAACAACCTAACTAATCCATTGTTGCTAATTATGTGGCAACAAACATTCACATTAATTTGAAGATAAGATTGCAATTGCTAGCTTTTGACTCCTTCAAAACTAAATCAATTACAACTCCTTGAGTTGGTCCATGATTGTCCTTAAAATTTTGCATTTAAATCATCAATTAAATGATCTAATCATAAATACAATTAGGACATGTGACACCATCATCTTTGTCGTGAAAATGGGTGTAAACACCCACACAATATACCGAATAAAATTTTGATTTTCTCCATTTCATTTTTAAAAAAGAAGTTTTTATAACAAGTCAACATCTAATGTAAGCCACTTTGATGGAATTAGGAAGTTTATGTCAACTTTCCTTCCAATAGCTTAATTTAATTTTTAGTCTATTAACTATCAGCTTAATTTCATTTTCGTCTAGAAAGTTTATTTTCTTTCTAAATAGTCTATAAACTTTGAAGAATATTTTAAAATAGTCTATTGTACAAAATTTTGTTAAATTTAACGAAAAACAACAGTCCTTTAAGTTTTGAAAAAAATGACATTATAATCCTAATAAAATATAATGACTTAAGAAATACTTTATAAAGATAAATTAATTAGAAAAAAAATATAAAAGTTAATAAAATTATGAAAGATAATAAACAAGATTGAAAGAATGTAAAGATGATAAATAAAATTGAAAAGAATATAAAAGTTAATAGATGATTTATTAAATTAAACCTCTTCAAACAAAGCTTTGTATAGTCAAATTGATGAGTTTAACACCTTTAATAAGAAAATTGGAAAGTTGAAATCCTCAATTGAGAGTAAAAAGAGTTCGGAACCTTAGTTAGTAAACTTTTAGAAGTTGGAGTCCTTATCTGTATCATTTTCTCCTTTTATTTCTCACAATAAACTCGCTAGAGTTTATGATCAATTACCAGAATAATTGAGCACTGTATGCTAGTAGATCCTTTTCCCAAGCACTTACAAAGAAAAATGTCAGCATCTTGTAACAAGCAGCAATGACATACCACGATAATTACATCCGATTAGTCTAATTTTTACGAGCTCAAATATGGAATTGTACGGGATGAAAACGTTACAATTGAAGAAAGCATTTCTCGTGTAACTGGCACTGTCAATGCATTTTGCGAAATGACATGAATATATTTACTGTTTAATATTAAGGTTGATGACCAGGGTTTAATCCTTGCTCGTGGTGGTTATTATCCGCAGGGTTGACAACAGGAATATCGAGGCTGCTTCCTTCTGTCTCTGGGGCTATTTCTCTTACGTCTGCTATTCTTGCTTCTGTTGCCTGAATATCACTCCATTCACCCTCTCCAACTGGCTGGATGTTAACTTGATCCACTGCCATGTGGACTACGCTCTCCCCAGGTACAGGGACTGCTCTAGAAACACTGAGACAAGCTTTATCTACATTCTCTGACAAGTCTACATCCTTTGTCAAGGGAAGAGTGTTTCTGATATTTGAGGATTCAGTCTTCTCCTCAAAAACTTGCTTTGTGTCAATCTGTTGCCTGTAAAACAGATTTGCAATGCCTTTAAACTTTTATGACAAACCTTCACCATTCTGACAAAGCTTATATGTCAAAGAACTAACATGAATCAAGTTAAACAAATCAATTCAAAGACAACCATTCTGCTAAGTGCTAACCCATGAATTTGAAATATGATGGAAGAAGATCATTGTCATATCACACTATCACAGGAGAAGTGTATTTTGCATCACTATAAAGTCATGGAAAAACAAATTTATTTGGCACATTTGCTATAATGGAAGAGGGGCTGAATATTGGATAAAGAGGCTCTTCTTAGACCATCTGATGCAGGAGCATTATAGTTCTTTTCAAATTTTTAGTGTCAAGGTTGCTTGCTTTTCATTTATCAGTTAGTGCCTTAGTGGTCAAACTTGATACACACTATTATCTCACAACAGAGTCCCATATTCCTACGTGATGGTTAAGATTGCCTTTATTTGTATTTAACGTATGTTTGAGTTTTAATGTTAAAAAGTTATATTGTTAGGAGGTAATTAGGAGTGAGGGCGGTAAAGAATTACGACTGTTTGTTTACTTTATTATAAATAGTTATTTTTAGATTACTTAGAGCTAGTTTTTGTTGTCTTCTTCTTCCTTTTTCTTTTTCTTTTTCTTTTTCTTTTTCTTTTTTTTTGGAGAATAAGCTACTAGATTGAGAGTCCTTAGATTCCAGCTGCAATTTTACATTGAATTTTAGCTACTGTTATTATTCCTCTATTCTATGGCTGCCATCCCTGCATCACCATGTAAAACACAAGACAACTCCAAACAGTTAAGAATAGCAATAAGGTTCAGGTTTACCTACATATTTTATAATGTGTTAGGCAAAATTTACTATTATCAATTATCTTCAAATTGACAATACAAATTATCCATATTTGTTTTTTACTGCAGAGTTTTGCATGTGAAGCTTTTAGATACCAATTTCCTTTCATGGATATGTCCTGTTTGCTGACATAAGCAATAGTTACAAGATTGGCAAAACTGAGGAGAAAACAGAATGACAATTATATTTTCTTGGGGATCAGATGCCAAACCTTTGAACATGTGCCTGCAACATGTTCACATATGCTCGAAGTTCTTGATTCTCCTTTACAGCAGCTGTTTCTTTCTGTGCAGCATCCTTTATTTTAGCTTCAGCATCTGCTTCTGCAACCCTGACCTTCTCATCAGCTCTGACAACAGCTGCCTCTAAGATCACAACACGCTCTCGAGCTTTTGCAAGCTCATTACGCCACATATGTGCCTCCTGAATGGCAGAGTCTCTCTGCTTGATCAGTTGGTCCTTTTCTTGACTAAGGGCCATGACCTTCTGTTCAGACTCTCTCAGCTATGTATAAAAGTGAAACCACCAAAAAGAACAATTGTAACAATTATAAATTATCCACTTAAAAGAATGAAAGGCAACTCATCTGAACTTCAGATCATTATTATGTGAAATTAAGTGAAATTGATATAATCCCAATGAAGGAAATCAACAATGGTGGAAGAAGGATGTTACATATGGTTCTTGAAAAAAAGCTTACAAATTTTTTATTCTATTAGGTAAAGTATTCTCCATATTCATAGTGGAGTTAGCCCATATACAAGGTGTTTTCTTTTTTTTTTTTAGAAAAGTACCAATTCATTTGTTTAATTCTTTTATCACTATTCTATTAGCTTTTTATATTTTTAATCACTAATAATTTTCTAGAAGATAGGATGGCTTAAGAGACTTATGCTTGCCCCCTGTTATTTCCATGCTCATGCCTTGCCTTACAAAGAGACAAATGTTTGCTTATAGTGATGTTGGAAACAGTGGTTTAGTATACCTTTAACATGAATGTCTCATGCTGTTTCCCTGCATCTTTTCTCATGCGCTCAATTTCCCCACAAGCAATTCTCCTCTGTTCATCCATTGTATGAGCTGCAGCTGCTGCAGCCTCAGCAGCTTCAGCAGTCTCAGATAGTTTATCTGCTATCTCTCTTATTGTTGAATCCCGAGCACGAAGATCTCGAGCCAAATTCTGCAATTCCTCATCCTTGACTCTCAGAGTTTCCTGCAAGATTTAAATGCTACTTAGAAAATGAAGGAACAAATAATCTTAGCAAGGAAAAAAAGAAAAAAGAAAAAGAAGAAAAAAAAACCCAGCATTTTCACAGGAGAGGTAAAATGAAGAAGAAACCAAGTAGAAGGTAACATGACGAAGGTCAGTCTTAAGGCCTCAAACACCAGATAATTTACATTTAGTTGATCCAGGATGATTCCAGCATGTGAATTCAAAGGCCAAGCTGGCATACAAATTTCTTCTATACACGCAGGAAAACAGCTTTCTTGTCACCATTTCCTATCCTATCTCTGTATTTGCAATATCTAGCATCCAGCAAACAAACATGAATGGAAGGGTAATTTGCAGACACACCCTGAGCAACATAAGCACCATTCTTCACTAAGGCAACCTGCAACTCGTATCTTTAACCCCTTAAAAATAAATTAAGCCCACCCTTTTTGTCTCTCGAAATGGAGAAAGATACGAAGACAAGTCCATGTACAAGAGTTATCAACATGAGCATTCACATGCTGACATGCTCACACAACCATAAATCTTGTTTGATGTTCTCTCTTTTCCAGTTCTACTTCTATTTCTTCCAATACCTAGCATCCAGCAAAGAGACAAGAAAGGGCAACAGGCAAACACACCAGGAGCAACAGAGCATAGAGAAAAAGGACAATCCAGCACTTGGTGAATTCTGCTCCACAATGATAGGAAGAGCCCATATCAAAGGATCAAAAAGCAATGTCACCATGAACACTTGGCTGCCACAAGCCAGTTATCCCTGTGGTTACTTTTCTGACACAGCAGATTAGAAGCATTCAGTTGCCTATGCATTAAGGTAAAGCAAACTGGGTATCAGGATCAGGGAAGAAAGGTAAGTTTACCATTGCTGGTTGTTATGAGTTGTTGACAGGAAGGAGCAAAGTTAGATGGTATTCTTACATATGGGGTAAAGGAGCTTGCCAAGACACAGTTTTATCTTGTGGCTCTCAGTGAAACAAAAATTGAGGACTAAGATCATGTTCAATGAGAGGGATATGCATGTAGACAATAAGTGTATTATATGAGAGAGTTTCAAAGTTAATGGCCTGGTTACAGGTCCTGGAAGAGGATTATGATGAAATGCAAAGGGAGAAGGCTTGAAATTAAGCTGCTAAGGATAGTGTTTGCTGCAACAATATACAGGTGCTGGAATGAGACAAATAGAAGACTGTTTAACTGGGTATGCAATAATCCATTTTATATAAGTAAGCCTGGGTATGCCCAGAGTAAAATGTACATAACCCTTCAGAATTTTGAGGAATGGAACTACTTGTAAATTTTCTAAAGGGCTGGATCCTGGAGTTTTAATGGTGATAAATTTAAACAATTTCTATAATCTCTCCTTTTTCTTAAAAAAAAAAAAAAAAAAAAGGATTTTTCTAGGATTCAATGGGGCTAAGGCCAACTGCCCTCACCCTAGATCAGTCCATGAATATGCAGAAACCACAAAGTCATGTTGATATTCTGTATATCAGACAACCATGTTGCAACAATATGTAAGTTATCTTCTTGGACATAATTGTTCTTTTCACCTTATTGTTTTCTACAATTGGTTTCAGCTAGTTGGGTACTATTTACAAAAATATATACATTTTTTTCAAAAAAAAAAAAAGTACAAGATACCACAATAGTAAAAATTTGAAAGGGAAACTGTTTCTAGCATACCTTCATGATTGTAAGATCATCCATTGGACCATCATTGGCAGTAGGTCTATTTGTCATCAATCCTAATGCATTTCTCAAAGAGACCTGCATTGCAGCTTCTATTTCTTTAGAACATTCCTGGGCTGTTGAATTGGCGGCGGCAACTACTGCTGCAACTGTTCCTAATTTTGCAGAACCATTCCCACTTAATGAATTTACAGCCTCTTTATGGGCCTTTAGGACCAGCTGTGTCGCACTAATTTGTGGAAGATAAAACAAAAGAAAACAACAATGACATCAACCAAAAATATCCAAATAATTGTTAAAGAAAATTCATTAAATTTTACATGGTGCTTCCAGGAGGTGAATGTCTCCTCCGCCCACAAAACAGATCAAACAACTTCAGGAAAACTTGGTAAACTTAAAAGACCAAACTATTAAATATAAAATTAATCAACTTTATTTGATTGCCATTGTTGGCCTTCCTAGCACATAAATATCATTGAAATAATATAAAATAAAAGGAAATACTGAAACCATTTTGTATGGGGTGGATGAAAACAATATCAAGAACCAACAACACAACAACAATAAATCCCAGAACATATAACTCAGGAGCTTAGTTTCCTAGTCTATAGCCAGAGAAAGCCAGCATAAAAATCTGCCTCTTTTTTGGAAATTTAAGAAAGTAAGAAGAGAAACAAAGTTGCCTCTTCAAGCAATATTCTACAAGCCTACAGTTGCTATACTAAACCCAGCTAACCTACCAAATCAATGTGTACAAAATAAGGTTTGCAAATGTTTGGATGCATATTCTTAAAAAAACCAAGCAATCAAGATTTACATATTCTAACCTGAAAAAGAGTGCAAAAAAACACAAATGAATTGCCTATTTTCCTATTCTGCTGATGAATTGTCTATTTTCCTGTCATACTGATATCCACTTTCTTAGATTGACCATTGCTCCACACATAACCACAAACAAGAAAAGTCCTTATTAAATGTCTGGGTAGAATTTAAAGGATGGACACCTGGATAATACTACCATCCATAGTGATGTCAACAGTATACTAACAAATTATGAGGAAGCATCTCAGTGGAAAATGGAACCAGTCACAATTGTCAGAATTATTTCCTAATGATTTATGCCTTATCATCACCACCAAGAAACCTCAACATCAGATAATGAGAATATAAGGTCAAGCAAAGATGGGATATTTTCCGACATGTCTACTTGTTTCAAAGAGATGAATGGGTTCATCAAAGCAATCACTGGAAGAGAATCTGGAACAGTGCATATCCTCAACAAATTAGACAGCCTGTACAGTTAGTTTTGCATCACAGATGATTGGCCAGCCTCCAAAGTATTAGAAGGTAAGGCGCCCAAAAGGCTATAAGAAGATGGAATCCACTCGTCATGACTGAAGAGATTGTGAAGCAGTAACACTTCTTTGGATTGATTGTGGAAGCCTAATTTTCTGTCTTATTTTTTCACACTTCACCTTCATGAATGAGTTACGTACCTTGTGATCCCATTCTTGTAAGATTTCAAATTATGAGCCGGTACTCAGATGTTTAGAACAGAATTATGACTGCTATGAATAATGGTGCAAACTATAAAGTTATATGTAATGAAAGATTTGAATATGTCTTACAACCAATTATGTCCATTTATTCTGCTGTCACTGAAATTAAGAAGGCTGCAAAATGTTCAAGTTCACTCTCACAGGTGTCCACTCAAGTTGAAAGGCTTATATACCATGGTATTTGCCTCCTATGGGTTGGTTCAAACTTAATATGATGGGGCTTCAAAATCTGGCAGATAGTTAAGGTCCTCATGGTATATAACTTACATAGGTTTCTTCTGGCCCACAGCTAAGGGATTTTTATCACAACTGCAAACTGCTCATTCACGAGAACCAAACTAAGGATTAGTAGGATGCGATTGGGAAAAAGAAGGATAGTTCTCAAGGTGGATTCAAAGGCTTCTTTCTGTCTCACCTTTAGAGAACATATGATTGTTTCAGCAAACTCTAAAATTCTTTGGCATATGGGAACTGGGAGGCATACAATATTTGCTCATTGCTTAGCTAACTATCAGCTGCTAATGCCTAGAACCAGAACACTTCAGAAATATCTTTTTCAGATCATGATCTTCGTAAGTCTGCCCCATATTTGGGCCACTTAGTGTTTGGCCACAGCCAAACTTATATTATAAAGTTAAGGATGTATCCTTCCAAAAAATGCCCAAATTCAACCATTGGGAGACATTACGTATCTCTTCATTCCTTTTTTTGTTACTCCTTTCGTCATAAATAAATCAAATCATGTTCACAAAAAAGTGTGTATACAACCTCTTCAGGCATAGATTCCCAAATCAGGTAGTAGGGTATGAAAGAACAAAAATTAAGGAAAGTATCTCTAATGAAAAAACTCCTGATATAGAACTAAAATGAGAGGCATAGGATGCCTTTTTTTAACACAGAAGGACAACCCATGACCATGAATAAACTCGAGCCTCTCTCCAGAAGAGAAAGCCACGGAAGAAGTCAAGTATCAACAATGGAAAAATACAGTACAGTATTTTTTAAAGCTAGCTAGCAACCATAAAGAGAACCAAAGGGAAAAAGATCAAAATTCATAAGTCATAATTGACATTTAACTTTTGAATACTTTTATTTAACATTTTAGAGCAAGAAACAGCAAGATCATTGTATGTGCACATATTCACAATTGAGAACAACATTAGGATAAGCAATAGAGGAATGAAAAACTGCAACAAGCAACCCAAACAAAAAGAACCATATGCCGCAAGGCTTTTGAAAAGTCAACTTACTGTAAAGTCGATACCCAAGCTCTAGCTGCACCGGGAGTCTCTGCACAAAGGAAGTAATCCTTTTTCTGAGGGGTACCAATGTCTGAAGCATAGAGTTAAGAAGCATTCAAGTCAAACAAATAGTTCAGGTGCATTTAAGAAATAAAAGCTCAAGTTTTTGAAGTTTCCAAAGACTTAATAAGGATACAGAAACAACAGCCATCATACTTTGGAAGCCCACTGCAGAAAAAAAAAATATATATATAGGAGAATTATTAACAACAAATTCCAAACATCAAAACTAAGGTAGTTAAAACTTTACAAACCAGATGTAATTGGGAATTATCTTACTGAAAATTCACAGGAGATATTGTAATGGTGCTATTTTCATCAAATATAATGGTTCCCTTCACAGCTGGCTCATTCCTCCTAGTCCTAAAAGAGTCAAACAACAGTATATTCTCTCAACAACATGCCCATAAGAAAGAAAACAGACAAGAAAAAGATAACAACAATGCATTGCAAAATACTTACTTGTATTCCATTTTCCCTGTTGTTGGGTCTAATATGACCCAACGCTCATTCCACTTTCTCAGCTATCAAAAAGAAAATCATACAGCATAAGGCAATTCCGCAGAGAAGAAAATTTTTCAATACCTAAGATTATCCACGAAACATCCCAAATTCCATTCATTTGCTAAGACCCAAGGAAAGGTAGTATTCCTTTTCCATTAATTTCCGAATTTCCCAAGATAAATTACCTAAGCTAGACCAAATTTCAGACTACTGTAAGCTAACTACTGAATCTTATACTATATGATTTCAGCTAAATTAAAGAAAGAAATGAAGATCATACCGTCTCAGATCGCTTCAGAAGTGGGCCCTGGAGCAATTGCCGACCAGAGCCTGAGGCCAACTGCCGTTTGATCCTCTCCAAGCTGTTTTCCGTCGTATCCCTAATACCCTGTTCCAATACAATCGATTGAAAAACAGAAACAAAAAATTACCATAAATTAAAGGGAAACGAACAACAAGAAGAAAACGAGACGTGGAGGAGGAGGAGAAGGATGGCCGACCACAGAAGCGCCATTAGAGGCCATGATGGATCAAATAGAACCAGAAAGCTTTAACGAAAGCAGGAAATTGATTCTGGAAAATAGTGGCTTCGTGATGATTTTTTGTTTTTGTGAAGAAGGCTGGTAGGTTTCTTTCGTTGGACTAGCAGGTGACGAAGACAATGGAAGATATAAGTTGATTATTACTTTTGGCTAAATTGCCTTTCTAGTCCCATCATTTTTAAGTTTGTAGCTTGTGTAGCCTTCAACGTTCTTTATTAGTTAAAAAACAAAATAGTCCCTGAATTTTTAAATTTACATGAAAATGGTCCTTAAACTTATTTTTTGATACTAATTTCGTCTTTCCATTGACGAAATGCCAAGTATCACATCAAGTTTCTAGAAAATCATTCCTATTTTTTAACTAAATGACGTGGAGAAGAAAAAAATGTCTCTTTTGATGAGTTGGCATTTTTTTTCCTTTCCACGTTAGAGAAAAAAAAAAAAAAAAAAGGAATGACAATTTTTTTCTCTTTAATCTTTACATCTCTCCCTCCCCTTCATTTCTTTTTCCCCATGCCTCTGCCAGGGGCAAAACCAGGATGTATATCATAGGAAGCCTATTGGTTTTGGTATTATGTCTGTACTCTTTACTTAACCTAATATAATATTAATAAAATAAATAATAGTATATAAAAATCAATGCAATATTGGTCAAACATCTTTCATTTTGACTTTACATATGCTAATTAGATATGCATAACATAAATGATTGATGCAATATTTATCAAAATATTTTAATTAACAAAGTTTACCTCTCAATGATAATAGATGAGCAACTTTCTCATCGTAAAACTTCTCACAAATCTCATAAAATGTGACAGCCACATTTTTTGAGTAATTTTTCCGCTGCACAACATTTTTTATTACAAAATTATGCTTTATATTAAAAATAGATTACAACTAACCATACCATGTTGAAACCTTATGTTACATGATAAAAATGAGATAAAGAAACGAAGTAGGAACCTAACTCATATTTTGAGACTACAAGAATTTCTATATGGGTGCACATACTTTGAAGGTAAAACTTTTAAATTTGCCCTTCAAATAAGAGAAAACAGATAAATTCGCCCCCCAAAAAAAGAATAAATTGCCCTTCCAAATTATTGATTAAGATAAATCACCTATTATTTAATGTATAATATCATCACACATTAAAAACCCATTTGCCACCTAAGCATTTTTTAACAAAAATTTAACGTGTAATGACGTCACATGTTATATGATGGTGAGTTGTTTTGATCAATAATTTGGAGGAGAAATTTGTTCTAAATTTTTTTTAGAGCGGATTTATCCTTGCCTTTCTATTTGAGGGGTAGATTTTGGAGTTTTGTTTGTTTTGAAATTGCTTTATAATTGTCTCGTTATCAATGGTTGCCATGAAATATTTTTCAATGTAACAATCTAATTTGTCATTCATCTATTCATCACTCATTCTATTTTGCAACTAATTTTTTATGATCTTCATCATTGAAAACACTCTTTCCACATTAGCAATTACAACAAGTATAGTCAACTTTAAAAGCAAGAAGACTAATGAATAGACTATTTTTTCTTAACTCCACTAGTTTTTTAGCAAGTTCTCCAATGTTGTTCACATGAGAATGTAGAAGTAGACCTCATATCATAGTGTAAAGATCAAGTTGAGTATTAAGTAATTTAAGGTCCATTAGAGAAAAATTTTTTAGATAAATTTTAAGATGTGTTAGCTTTTGCTTATCAAAGGAGGCAAATCCATTAGAAGGATCAAGGCATGCAACACACAAAACACACAAAAGTAATTTAGTATTTGTTGCATTAAAATGGCCATTCAATTCATGTATTAACTAATAGAAAATTGCATTGTAAAACCCATATAAAATATATCTTACTCAATAATTCCTTCATTAACTTTACTAATTTCATAGTATTAACAATATTTTGATATTTTCTTTGTAGTGCTAGACACAAGTCGTTTGTCTTTGCAAGAACATATTTTGTCAAATGTAGAAGGAACATGAAATTAAAAGTTTGAAGTTATTTAGTGTTGGGGTAGGGGGTTGATGAGTCAACAACAAGGATGATGTGGAAACTGACTAGTAGGCCCTCTATAGGGATAAGGAATGTCCTTTTGGCTTGCACCTGTTTCACGTGCAGAAGGCTATGTGCTAGAGGCCGTCTCCTTTCATCGAATGAAGATGGACTACACAAGATTTTATAGCAAAATCAGATAATACAACTTCCCTAGCTAAGTCAGAAGAACGAAGCAATCTTCCCTTCTCTTCTTTTCTAATAAGGATGAACTACAAGCTTTCTCCAATGAAATGTAGAAATAGAGCTTCCCTAGCCAAGCTAGAAAAGCAAGGCATTGATAGTGCTCCCAAAATCACAATTACATAACTATCAAAATGAACTACAAGCTTTACCAACAAAGTTTGGATATAGAGCTTCCTCAACTAAGCTGAAAGATCAAGGTGATGATGACGCTTCCAAAATCACGAGTACATGACCACCAACATAAATGAACGAGTGTTAAGCAATTTGATGCCTCCAATGAAGTTTGAGAGTGAACCTTCTCTAGCCAACCCAAAAGAGCTAAATGGAGATGATGCCTCTAGAAAATGATTATACAACCGTAAAAAAAAAAAAAAGAGACAAATGGGTGAATTGCATTGTAACTATAGTAGCACGAATAAAAAATGTAACTATCAACTTGTATAATAAAATGGGCATATCTAAATGCAATATGCTATAGAATAGAAGAAATAAATAATAGATATTTAAGCCAAAGTACAAAGTATAATAATTTCCTTCTCCAAATTTATGCATATAAAAAGAAATAAAAAGAAATAAACTAGAAAGTAGCGATGGCAGAAAGAAGAATGACCATTGTGGGGGGTTTTTTAATGGAGGACTTGATTTTGTTTTTTGATGCTGACTCTATTGCTTAATCTTTCGATGCTCAAGAAAACAACCTAGAATCTCAAAATGTAGCATGAAATCTTCAAGCCATGATGAACTCTAAGTCTAGAGAATAATTTGTATGACTAGAAATGTAGGAAAAAGTGAGAAACGGAGGTTTTTGGGGAATTTTGTGTTTGTGTCAAGAGGTTGAAGATGAAGATTTCTTGAGAGGAAAAAATGGGTCTGATGCCTGTAGTGTGAATAATCTCCCCTCTTATACGTTGAAAATGATGGAAAAATCAAATATATATACATAATGGCATTTTGGTAATTACGAGTTTGTGGGGTAGGTAGCCCAACAATCCAGTTGTTTGATATGTGTTGGGTGAGGACAAGTGTCAAGTTTTAAGATGATTTAGGCACTTGTGATACAATTAGTGGGCAAAAACCTATTTTTAGTCCTTCACCTTATCAAGTTTTAAGGTTTTAGCCCTTTACCTTATACTATAATATTTTTAACCCCTCACCTTACTAGATTTGTAAGTTTTAGCCCCTCAATCGTTAAAATCGAAGAAAATAAACCTCACTTTATATTGACTATTAACTTTATTAGTTGAAAGTAAGTTTTTGTCAACTAACAGTCACTAATAGTCAGTTAACAAAATGAATAAAATATTATAAAGTTAGTTCTATTAACTCTGTTAGCTAAAAGAAGGTTTTTGTCAACGAACAATCAACTAACAATCAGCTAATAAAGTTAACAGTCAACGAACATAACTAACAAAATGTTACAAAGTGAAAGCTATTTTCTTCAATTTTAATAGGTGAGGAGCCAAAAATGTCATAGTATATGGTGAGGGGTTAAAACCTTCAAACTTGATAAGGTGTGGGGCTGAAAATAGGCTTTTGCCAGATTAGTGTGTAATTATTATTTCTCAACGTTTCTTACAAAAGACTATTGATTCATTGGAGTCCTCTTATTCTTGGCAATTTTATATCTATACATAATGCCATATTTGGTGTCTAATTAAGCATCGTTGGCAACGTTTCTGCTATCCAAGATTTTGGTAGATTTTCCAAGCAAAACGTATTCTCTTTTACTAATTTCCCTTGAATACTACTGTAGGTTGGTGATGGAGACTCAAATGGCATCTCTAGTTGATTTTAAAAGAGGTTGCAGGTCTTCTAATTAGCGTCAAATGGTGTAGTTTTGGGATCAAGTTTGACCTTTACATGTTTGCAGCCTATCCTTTCCTAGCAAAGATGAGCAACATCACCAACCCCAAACTTGGTTAGTGCAAATACTATACTTCACCAGGTGGGCAATGTTTATCCATTCATGCTTGCCAATCCATTATTCCCTTAGTTATCTCAAATAATCGCCATGAGTTTAGGTTTATGGGTTCATTGATGACCTGCATATAAAAATAGTGATCAATTGATGAAAATGATGAAATTTGATAAGTAAGGAATAATAAGGGAAGAGACTTCCTTGTGTATGTCTAGTGATGTAGCCATGTATTGTAGCATTAGATATAACTAGACCTTTTGGTAAATGCATGCTAAAGGCATTAATAGGCCCTTAAATCAAGGCAAGTCTTGAAGATGTAGAAATTACTCAAATCCAACTTTAACTCTTTACAAAAACATGCATCAACATTAACCCCCCAAGTGGGAGAATTGTGACAACAAGTCTTTGTGCTTGTCATTGATGTTGCCGAATGTGCCCATAATTTGCCAAATAATGGATGAATTGGATGTCATTTAGCAATATCTTTATCATGTAGCGAGTTGAAGAAATGTGGCCATGTTTTGCTGGAATTGGAAGATTGACTTCACCAAAGGATATGCCCATCCTTGTGTTCTAGAAATGATGATGATAATAATAATAACAGTGATTTTTGTGAAGTTCTCCTTTAGCAGCTTAATTGTTTCCTCCATTGGGGAATGAAAGCGTTAAGAGTATCATTCATAGCCATGTCACTGTAGACAGTTGCATATCTAGTTTGGTTGAGTCAAAGCCAAAGTAGATATCACTGGTACAAAGATGAATAAACCCTTCAGCAATGAAGAAAGTAGCTTATCATTTGCTCACTCTAGCTTTGCTCATTCTAGCTTTACATGATTGGAAAATATTAATTGCTATCATAAGCTTTGTCATAAAAATTTTAATAAAAATGAGCTGATGAGAAGCTTAGCAGTTAAGAATATTTGTCAACCTAGTTTTGGGAAGATAGCATTCTGATGAAAATTAAGCAAGCAATTGAAGTTGCAACACTAGTGGTAAACATTCATCAGCTTTGCTAGAAAGTAATACTAGTAATATTATCCTTTCGCCATGTGAATTTTTTTTTAATCTCCCATGTACGTGCTCATCAAGCAAGTATTTGCAATTCTTCATCTTCTTTTGTGACTTGATATTAAGAAGTTATCTAGTGAAGATAAATGGCTTAAGTAATGATGGAGACATAGCAATAAACTACAAGTTGTTGAATTTATAGCAGACTGCTCTATCCAAATGAAATATGATGATGTGAAGTAGAGCACTAACCTTCCATTTGAGGAATGTGAGAACCAATAATGATGGACGTCTTGTTTAAGAGATAAAGTAATGTAAAGATGAAAGCCTTTTATAGCCTTGTTATAATTGTAGGTTAGGACTAATAAACTTCACTGACCCTTCCTTTTGCTAGAGATGATCAAATAATGATGAAGATGAAATAAGTGTAATCCCAGCTAGCTAGCCAAGAGGGGGGGTGAATTGGGTCTTGTCAATTTAAACTTAAACACTTGTTTCTCTTTCTTTCAAGACTTAAATCAAATTTGTAATTTATAAGCTATTGTGCAGAACAAACAAAAGTAATATAGTGCAAAAAAATAAAAGAAAGGAAAGAGAAAATCAAGCCGTGATTTATAATGGTTCCTCCAACCCGAAGTACGTCCATTCCCCAAGCCTCCTTGCTCAAGAGTTCAATCCACTAGAAATCTCTTGCTTACGGGTGCAAGATTAAATCGGAACAAACTCTTGCTTGCGGGTGCAAGATTAAACCCTCACAAGTGAATCTCAACTCACTCAACCCCTTCAAGGATTAACCCAATCCAAGAAGAATAAAAAACCCTTGTAAGACAATATACCCAAAAGCTCACAAGAAGAAAAGAAGGAAACCCAGAACAATATCAAACTCAGTTTCTGTAGCAGTTCGTCCTTCTCCTCTATGCTCTAGATCTGAATTTTTTATCATTATAATAGGGGATTTTGGAGCCTTGCAATTAAAATCCATTTTGCCCTGCAAAGCCACCTCACATATGCTCCAATGAGATTTCACCTATTTTACTATTTTTGACTTGACTTTGGAAAGGCTCAGACAATTGGTTCTCCCAAGGCCCAAAATAAAAATAAAAATAAACGGATAGTTGAGCTATCAAAATTTACTCTTCCAGAATTTTTGCTTCGAAGCCAGAAATAAAGTTTCGAACTATTTTCGAAAAACAAAAGTTCGGGATTGATTCGAACCAAAATAAACTTGTTCGAACCCAGAACTCTAAACAAGGAGAACATGAATTAATTATAATCGTGGGGAAAGATTAGAAACCTTGGATTAATTTTCCTGCACACTTAGCACAAAAATAGATTAAACTCTTTTGAATCATTGTTTTAAATCATCATAAAAATACAAAGAGAACCTAACAATAAGCATACATATGTTGACATTCTCATAGTGGACCCAATATTTTGAAGAATACTTTCTGTCCAAGATAGAACATTCTAGCAAAGATGGACCTTCTGTCTAAGTGATGTAGTAAATAAGTAACAGTGGATGAAATCTCTCCATATGGACCTTCCAAGCTTTGATAATATTTCTTCCCTATGATAGATTATTAAAAATGTATCAATAGGTAGTTGTGTGTTCATGACTATTGGCCATCTTGAATATCACAGAGCTAGTTAAAAAGCTTCACTAACCTCTCTTATACCTTAAAGGGAAAGATGTAAGCATATATTGTTGTGCCTTTTTGTTTATCTGTCATAGGAAGCACTTTTATAGCATTGTTATGTATGTCTAGTGATGCACCAAAATAGAGAATAAATAACATAGATGAGTGTTCCAATATCATTTTTATCGAGTCAACCATCGTTGGTCACCCATACTGCCAACACGTAAAACTATAATAGAAATATGTTATAGATGGGGATTATCAATGACCAGTAATTTTGCCCCTTGTATAGAAAGAATAATGATATGTATGATTGTCAGCCATGTTGTATAAATATCACAGGGTCAGCCATGAATAGCTTTCCCATAACTAGAGGGACATTAGTAGCTAGCTTTGTCTATGGCCAAAGCATGAACTATGTGGAATTGGAAAAGCGTTCCCAACAATTCATCGAGTTGTGAAAGGGATAAATCTCATCAATCTAGAACTCCGGTATAATAATGAAAATATGATAAAAATAGGTGGAGTGTTATGCGTGGAAAGGGGATTACCAGCCACATCCATGGCTTATAATACAGATAAGGTGTGATACCATGATAAAATGATGACCTTTTTTGCCATACCTACACCATTAAAGGATAGTCTTGTTTGTTTTTGCCCACCAAGTATCGCACCACCATGCATAGGCGACCACTAAAGCATTGTTGGCCACAATTTGATGGATTTTTATCATTAAAAGGTAGTTATCCCAACCAATCACAGGGTTGCAACTGTTACCAGTCTTAAGTTAATCGTATCTAATTACATTGACTCTTTGTCTATTTCCGAGAGCCAGTAAAATAAAATATGTAAAGATCCGACCCTTTGTTTGTTTCTAGGAGCAAGTGTAGTGAAGATGTGTAGAAATATGTACCCTTTTGCCCATTTTCGGAAGCTAAGTAAAATAGTAAGTTTGACCCTTTATCTAACGCTAGGAGCATTATAGATGTAGTAGAATTCTCCCTTTGTCCATTGTCAAGAGCTATGTAGATGTCATAAAATGAACTCGTTATCCTTTGATGGGAACCATATATATATATATATATATATAGCAAGATAGGCTGTTTATCCATTACTGAGAGCTAATTGTAATAGTAAACATTGCATTAAAGATCATGACCATCGAAAAAGGTCCAACCATAGCACGGAGAAAAATGTAGCCATGTCAGGCCATGTATATGAAATGGTATTAAAGCTGATCATGTTTTTATTATTTCCAGCAAAGTAAATGAATGCCTCTTCTAGCGATGTTGACTTTGTTGCAGTCATCAACAAAAAATATAATATAACATATCTGATATAGAGACAGGTCACATAAACCCTCTGATCGAAGTCAATGTGTCATGAGTAATCCAACACAGCTAGGGCAAAACTTTAGCTAAGAAATTCAATATTGTTGATGAAGCTTCAACAGGGGTAGAATCAAACACGGCAAGAACAAGACTCCAGCCAAGAGATCTAATGTTGTTGATGAAGTTTTAACAAAGATAGAATCGAGCATGGTTAAAGCAAAACTTCAGTAAGAAATTTGATGTCATTAAAATGATGCTTTGAAATGGATAGAATCGAGCACGTCTAGAGTAAAAAATATAACACACCTCCCTTAAATACCCTTAGTCCTAGAGGAGTCTAGAAATAGAATTATAGGAAAAGATTACAACGGAAGTAGAAACACTTCTATTATAAAATGTTTCCTTAAAAAAAAACTTGATTTTAAATCAATTTAAAATTTTACAGAAAGAAAATCAAATACTTGTAAAGGAAAGGTTAAATACCCTTTTTGGTCCCTCTACTATAGGAAAAAGCCCCTTTTTAGTTCTTATACCGAAAAAATCCCCTTTTTGATCCTTACTATTCGAAATCTGGCCCCTTTTTTGTCCTTCCGTTAAATTTTGGCTTATGTGGCAGGTTAACTAACGGAAAAACTTATTTTTTTTCTTTATTTTAATTATGTGGAAAATCCAACTAGTACAACTTGATGACATGGCCAAATTTTTTTGTTTAAAATTAACCTTAAAAATCATTTAATTACATAATTGCCATTATAAATATTTTAAAAATTATCCTCTCTTTTGTCTTATCCTCTTTTGCCTCATGTTCTTCCCCCTTCTATCTTATGCTGCTAGGTTCGTCACGAACCTAGATTCGTCATGATGATCCAATTCTTTGAATGATCAAATCAATAGTCAAAATTCAAACACGAAATCAAAATATTTCATACTTAGAATCAGTAGATGCAAGCTAAAATCTAATATAAAAACCAAGATACATAACAGAAGAGATTCGAATCTCCAACTACAATACTCAAAATCATTCCTAAGAACGATCTAATCATTAGATGAAATTCAAAAGCTAAATCCACATCATTCATGTTCAGAGACAATGAAAACAAAAAATGGAATACGAAATACAAAGTCTTAGCATTCAAACATAATCAGTAGATGAAACCAGGAGCTGCGTTCGTTGTGAACCCAACCTAGATCTTGGGTTCGTCACAAACCTAGCCTAGATCCTGGGTTTGTTTTGCGAACCTAGGTGCTGGGTTAGCGTCACGAACCCACACGAACCCAGGCATTAGGTTCGCATCACGAACCCACGCGAACCCAAGTGCTGGTTTCCCATCACGAAACCAAGCAAACCCAGTGCAAACCCAATGCTGGGTTTGCAAAGATCCTAACGAGATCTTAAAGGGAAAAAAAAAAAGGCTAGAGGAAGGAAGAAGATGGGGGCAAATAAGTAATTAAGAGTAAGTATTTTTAATCACAAAATAATCTTTAAAATATTTATAATGGCAATTATGTAATTACATGATTTTTAAGGTTAAATTAAACAAAAAAAACTTGGCCATGTCATCAAGTTGTACCAGGTGTATTTTCCACATAATTAAAATAAAGAAAAAATAAGTTTTTTCATTAGTTAACTTGCCACATCAGCCAAAATTTAACGGAAGAACCAAAAAGGGGTCGGATTTGAAACAATAAGGATCAAAAAGGGGATTTTTTCGGTATAGGGACTAAAAATGGGCTTTTTCCTATAGTAGAGGGACCAAAAAAAGTATTTAACCTAAAGGAAAACTACTTTAACCAAAAAATGTCTTAAGGAAATGTCAAAATACTCAAAATTATAAAATAAGTTGGGCTAAGCTCATTTAATTAGTTTAAATATTATATACATAAAAGTAATTTACACAAAATCATGAAGGTAAACCCTTCTCAAAAGTTTTTCAAAATATCAAAAGTCGAATCATCGTTTTGGTAACACATTGATCTGCCTCCATATCAAAAGCACGAGCTCCTATCTGCTATGTACAACTAGCATAAGGGACCTCTACCGAAACTCTCCAGCTGGTGATTGCTACTCCAATCTACGAATCTGAAATGGGGAGGGGGGGATTTTATGAGCTAAAAGCCCAGTAAGTATAAAGTTTAAGGTATAAATTTGGGTCCTAAGACCCCTAAACCTATACATACAAAGAGTATGAGATACAACAAAACCAAACTACATAATATTATAATTCTCAATATTTAAATAATAACTTAATATCTCAAATCATAATCACACATGTTAAGAAATAATCAATGACATTTATATCAAATTCATATAATAAAATTATATGCTCATAAATACGATGTCACAAGCACAATGCATAAAACTGAAAATCACACAATGCTATGGAGTTCATTGATGTGTGCTAGCAACACTGTACCGAAGCTAATCACAGTACTAACCTTACTGCGCAGAGGTCCACTAAATATCCCAAAGGGTCCACTGAATACCTAGGAGGCTCCACTAAATACCCTAAGCTTTAAGCTTAGGTCCACTTACTCCATAGCCACAAACACATACACATGTCAGACAATTTCAGAATATATCCAAAATAATATTGGAATTTTATCCCATTTAATGTTTCCATTCATCAATGGTACTGCCAATTCAAGTTCACACTAATAACCACATACACAGTTCACATATTCCATAGAACTTCCTATTGAAAGAAATTAAAGTATAGTGTGTGAACAGTAACACGTGAACAGTGATACGTGAACAATAATACGTGAACAATTCTAGCAAGTAATTAGCTAATAAAAATTTACAAAGAATTCCAACATCAACCAAAATCCACTTCTAGCTCTACACTCCACTAGTGCCCAAAATTTCAAATTTTACTAAACAAAAATTCTAATACTCAAAAATTTCTTAAACAAAAGATTTATAGTCATATCCCACCACTTAAACTAATTTTTGTGTATGTTATAACAAATTCCATAATTTTCCCCCAAAACTCTAACCCAAATCTATAGCTAAACTTACACTTACTTGAAAATCAAGTGCCTTATTGAAGAGGACAGTAGAAATTGAAAAGGATTCCAAGTGGAGAGTGCTCTTTGCTCCTCAATCTTGGCTAGAGGAAAAAGGAAGAAAGATGCAGGGGATAGCTAGAAGAGGAAGGCACAAAAAAATGGTGGGCTTTCGGGAGCCATCTAGAGGCTAATCTAAGTCCAGCTGAAAAAGAAAAATGCTTGGTTGGTATAATGCCATGTGGTAAGAAAAATTGGAATAATGGAGTTAAGACCCCTCAACTCCTCCTAAGTTCTACTTAAAACCCTTAAACTTTAAATCCACTCACTTTAATCCTTAGAACTATAAAATAAAGGACTCTAATTTTTAAATTATACACTAAGGTATGTGAGGTGTTACAGTAAGAGTCCAACCAATAAATCTAATATTGTTTATTATGTTGCTTCGACATGGATAGAATCAAGTATAGCTAGTGTTGACGACCACTTAAGATTTTTAAATAATGAAAAATTAAGCGTAAAAAATATTAAAAAAAATGTAGTCGCCACTTATCCAAATTATAAAGAGGGACAAGTCATCTAAAACAGTTCTGCACAGAGATTGAGATTCAAGGGTTTGGTTAGAAGTGAGAAATGGCATACGCGTACCTCACAATCCTTCGTTTAAACACGGTTGCATACTTTAAAATTGGGATTTTGATTCAATTTATTCATCATGTTTATATTTGGGTCTTAATAAACAAGCCTGAAAAGGAGATAAACCAAATTGCAATATTTTTAACCTTTTGGATTAAAATGAACAAAATCAAAGACATGCATGCACAGTGAACACAAGTAAAAATTAAAGGGTCTGATTTGATTAAATTCAAAAAAAAAAAAACATGAATGATTGATTTGACTAAATTTAAAACATGGGGTGGAGGATTGATTTGAAAAGAGTTAGACCCTTGAACTAAATTGTTTAATCATAAAACTTTGAGGTGATATCGAGAGAAAATAAGAGATAAAATAAGAGGTGACTTTGACTTTGATCCAAATTAAAGAAAATTAGAAATTGAAATTAATTAATCAAGATAATTAGTTTAATTAAATAATCAATTTAACATTAATTAAATTAATTAAAATTAATTAACCACATTTACTAATCTTTAATTGAAATAATCAAATAAATCTAATTATCTCAAATTTAATTTTGATAAATATGATTGATTTATTTTAATTAAAATTAATTAACTTCATTAATCATAAATTAAACTAACTAACCTAATTAATTTATAAAATTTATATACATATATATTTTTACTTTTTAACCCTTTTTTTTTGTTAGATTGGATCGGGTTGACCCGACCCACAAAACATGACCCGTCAAACCAAAACGGGC